AAAGTCAGACGCTTAACTGACTGAGCCACCCAGGTGCCCCTGGTTTGGCAAAGATTTCTTAAACAGGACATGAAACCCATTAAACATAAAAGAAAAAAATGTCAATAAATTGGATGGCATCAAAATTATAAAGGCTTGCGCTTCAAAAGACATTGTTAAAAAAGGGAAAGGCAAAAAAAGGGAAAGGCAAGTCACAGACCAGGAGGAAATTTTTAAAAAACATAAAAGTCCTTTGTTGGATGTATCTAGTATATATAAAGAATTTTAACTGAAAAGTGAGAAAAAAGACAACCCAGTGAAAAAATGGGGATGATCTGAACATATATTTCAGAAAACATACATATGGCAAATAAGCACATAAAAAGATGCTCAACATCATTAGTCATAAGGGAACTGAAAACTAAACCCACAATGAGGTACCACTACCCCTTCACTAGACCACCTAAGGTTTAAAAGACTGACCATACTCAATATTGGTGAGAATGTACAGCAACAAGAACACTCATAAATTGCTAGTAGGAAGTTATACCACTTTGGAAAACAATTTGGCAGTTGCTTAAAAGTTAAAATGTACACCTACCATAGGAGACAACCAGCCAGTCCACTCCTAGGTTATCTCCCCAAAAGAAATAAAACATATATCCATACAAAGACTTGTACACAAATGTTCAGTACACTATTTGTAATAGTGAAAAACTGGAAACAACACAAAATGTCCATCAACAGGTGAATGGATAAACATATTGTGGTATAGCCATACAACAGGAGACCATTCAGCAATAAAAAGGAAAGAGGTATTGATACACACAGCCACATGGATGAACCTTGAAATACTTACACTGAGTGAAACCCAGAAAAAGAAAATATACTGTATGATTCAATTTTTGTAAAATTCTAGAAAATAAAAAACGAGTCTATAGCGACAGCAGATTAATGGTTGCTTGGAGATAGGGAGGTAGAGGGGTGAACTAGGGAGAGGAGAAAGGGTTTACAAAGGGGAACAAAATTAAGTTTTTGTCATGATGGACACTGACATTATCTTGATTGTGGTGAGGATTTCATGAGTGTATATCTGTGTCAAAGCTTACTAAATTGTACATTTTAAATATATACAATTTATTGTGGGCCAATCATACCTCAATGAAAATGTAAAAAAATTAACTGACCTTCAATAGAGGCAGTGATGGAAAGGGTTCTCTACTCTTAATTTTTTTTTACCTTTTATTTTTGAGAGACAGAGAGAGAGCACGAGCAGGGGAGGGACATAGAGAGAAAGGAGACACAGAATCCGAAGCAGGCTCCAGGCTCTGAGCTGTCAGCACAGAGCCTGA